GCGTTTTTGAACTGCGCATGGAAAGCGGAAGTGAGGAAGAAGGTGCATGGGATAAAAGTACTTCTGGGTCGCGCTTGCGGTAAAAAAAAAAAAAAGAGAAGAAAACATTTCAGGCTAAAAGTGTTACATGATTTGCTCCTTCAGCAGACGGGGCTCCAAGGCTTCAAATCTAACACTAGCATAATTTTTGGCAATTCACCATTACTAGCATGCGCTTGATTTTCTTATTTTTTACCGCCAACAAAAGCACTGCTAGCATGATTTCACTTTGGCTAGTTTTGCAGCACACAATTGTCCCGAAATCAGTGCTACAGCCAAATTTAAGTTACATAATCATTTTTTTGTTTGCTTATTGTCACTGGGACCTGGGTCTTACAGGAAGTGACCCAGGACTTTTCCCCCAGGATTCAACGTATCCGCATAAAAAGCTCGGTTTATACGATAACGAAAACGTCCGCGTGCTGGTTTTCAATATTGATTGAGTTTTTGTAGTAAAGCTGCCAGACAATGGATTATGCTGTCTTTGAGTTTCTAGTCGAAATAAGCCCCGGGAGGTACTCCTTGGAATTCTTGGTGGGGGTATGCACACCCAGTTCTCCAAATCCTGACCCTATCTTATACCAAAAAATTTCATTTTTCACACCGGTTTCATACCTGGCCTCTAAAATCCATACCTGTTTTCAAACCTAGCTTGAGAAATTATCAAGATCAATATATAAGGTTCATATGTACAGAGATGAACCGTTACGTTAACAGTACAACTCATACGGCGGTCATAAATCGGTCCATGAACGACACAGGAGGGATATAACACACATTTTATGTAAGGTAAGCTGTTTTTTTTCATTAAAATCCTTTCATTTTCTTAGGTTACAGAAATGATAGGTTTTCCCCCATACAATCCTTATATTTCGAATGTTACGCAACAATGCCGATGCTCACCGATACTCATATTTCGATCTTGGGCTAAGCTACCAGTAATATAAGTGCTACAGTTTGCGAGCACAATCTATCAAAGCCAAGAGAGAATATCTCATTCTCTCTTGTCAAAGCCTACTCCTGATAAGATGAAATTTTAAGAAGACACAAGAATACAGTCGACTCTCTCTTAAGTTAACGGACACCTCTACTGAGACGGACACCTCTGTAAAACGGACACTTAGAGTTGGTCCCTGCCTTTCTTTACTCCCTTTATTTGACTCTCTATAAGACGGACACCTCTCTAAGACGGACACTTAGTGCTGGTTCCAAAGGTGTCCGTCTTAGAGAGAGTTGACTGTATAACAAAATATGCAAAGTCGAAAAAACTAAAGAACTATAAACACTTTTATAATTTTCTCAGTCTTCTCCAGCATGAGGCCCATGTAGCCTGGGTATGAGAAAAAGGAGCATCTTCGGTACTCATACCTTGGCTCCTACCAGATGAAGGTCACAATGATGCAACGTGGTCCTCCATGTGGAAACTTGGAAGTTGTACGAACGTTCGTGTTTTGGTACGAATAGTAGTGAAAATGTAACTTCTCAGTTGTTTTTTCGCCTATTTGAAAGCCTATGGGAATTTTATTAAATTATTAATGTTCTTGACCTCGTAAACACTGCCTTTTTTCACTCCGGTGAGGAGAAAATCGCGTTTCTTTTAGCTCCATGTGCAATGTGAAGTCGACGACGACCATTTTTTGGATGCGTTTTCATGGCCGATAATTTGCTACAAGGGCTTCAGGCGGCCGCAAATGCGACATCACAGGCAGGGGTGAGTTTCTTGCTAACCATTTTTCTTCTGAACTGTTCGGTTGGCGTTCGAACATCATATAGCAATGCAATCGTGTACAGATTATATATTGTCATTAACATTATTCTTATTAATTTTTTTGGCCAATAACGATAGGCCCTGCAATATTTTGAACAGCTAAAGAATTCCCCAGACGGCTGGAAGCTATGTGGTGATGCCCTAATTCGAAATCTTTACAGGTAATTGAAACTTGATAATAAAGTTAATTGTCTTACTGTGGTATTAAGTCGTTAACGTTTTGGACCTCATTGAGCATTATTTCAGAACTTGATTAAAAAGATGCATTGTTTGATATAATTTATATTGAGTTTATGTTATCATTCATAATTCATATGCAACTATATAGTACATTATCTTTCATTCAAAATATTTTCTCTATTTCTGATTGACCAAATTTGGATAGTCTGGAACCAGCTCCGCAGTCAGCGAAAAGGGGAAAAAACAGGGTCAAAAAGGAAAAAGCAGTGGCCTGGAGGGGGGAGGGGAGGAGATGTAGCAGAGCCTAAAGACATGCCTTTGATGCTGCCATTCTGTGATGCCATTCTGGTGGCAAATGTCTTCATATTGACAGATTCGCGGTACTGTGGACAGTATCACACTCTTTCAATATCATGCTCATACAATTCAAGAAAAGATTTTAAAAGATGAATGAGGGTGGATTGGCGGCAGCAACGCATTTCTTCAGGCTCTACCTTTCTCCTCTCCAGACTTTCTCTTGGCCCGCTTTGCTTTGCTGTAGCAAAGACCCCACTATACAGCCTGCAACCAACAATTTTTTTGGTACCATGGCACTTCGTTATAGTGGGGTTCCATCAAAATCCTGCAAACAAGCTAGGGCTTGCGGGAAATGAACAATTAAGGCAAGCGGGATTTCAATTTGACTTGCTGAATGCTCCCAATCTTCTTGCGGCCCTGACACCTAAAAACAACAGCAAACAGACTGCTTATCTTGCCGGCTACACAGGCTAATGTAACTAGACATGCAGGGCTCGAATTTAAAAAAATCCTCAGGTCTCCTTTTGGCAAACAACTGGAGAAATATAGTCGCCAGATGCCAATTTTTAGTCTCCAGTTTTTATAATGTAAATCACGCAGCTCAGGGCTTGTGATATTTCGCATGGTTGCGAAGCCGTGAAATTGAGGTAAATCTGCGAAATTCACAAAAGCAAGCAAAACACTGCGAAATTCGGTAGAAATCTTATGAGATACATGTCTGTACAACTTATTTGAAATTTATCTCAGCAAATTTATCTTGAAACTTTGTCACTGAAACATGCAAACGACGTCCCAAAACTACCAGGCATAGATTATGTTGCGAAAAACTGGGCACTAGCCATGACGTTAAAGGCTTTGCCATTGGTTCATTTCTGGAGCATATTGTTGTTGAAAGAGCAAAATAATGATGACCTCTGTTTGAAAAACGTTAAAAAGGCTGGTCTGATCAGCCAATCGATTTCTAGTGAATTTTCCCTGAAAATAACCACAAAATCGGCCGTTTTTTCCAATTGTTTTTAGGCGAAGTTTGCCCCGAAAACTGCTGCGAAATTGGCCGATTTTTCTGGGAATTTGTCCCTAAAAATCCCACAAAATTTGACTTTTTTTCCGCGACCTATCAGAAGCCCTGTATAGAATGGCACGATCCATCAGATTTGAAAATATCAACGATAGAAGTTGGCATAAATTTGGAGGTAAACTGGCTTTGTTTATGCGATTTGGCACATTTTTTATGATGAAAGCAAAGTAAGATAATATGAAATGTTTGTTTTAACTTTAGTCTTTTAATTTAAATCTAAAGCATAGAAAAATCTGGTTGCCTCTTTCTGGTGATTAAACCAAAACGTTTAGTCTCCAAGGAGAAAATGTTAGTTGCATTGGCGACCTTATCACTCGCAATTTCGAGCCCTGACATGTCATAAAGTTATTATAGTGGGGTTTCACTGTACCTGCAAAAAGGCAAGACATCAACATCCCACAAACAAGCCAGGGCTGGGGTGAAAACAAGAATGAGGGCAAGTGGGATTTCAATTTGACTTGCGGAATGCTCCTAATCTTCTTGTGGCTTCGATCAAAACGAAAAACAACAGCAATAACCTGCTTGTCTTGCCAGCTACAAAGGCTAATCAGCTATGTAGCTAGACATGCCATAAAGTATGTTGCAGTTATTGAAAAAGTTAATTATTTGAAAAAACTTTGTTTGTTTTTACCTATGTATATAAATACCCAGTTAGCACAGTTTAGACTCTGGACAGTACACTCCTCTTAAGTAGACAGCTCTTCTTTCAGCTTATATCAGTTTTTTTCACGTACCTGCCAGTTACGCTTCAAAACACCACTTGAATTTTATGCTTGTGTCTGAATTACGGCATTGTCTGAGCAACTATATGAAACAGTTTTTTTTTTTGGTATCCCGGTATTTATTCATTACAGAAATGCACCCATTGATTATTGACGATCATAAAAAATGACATAGAGTTTCTATCAAGAAATCCCCTGTGTATATCCTTTTCCTGATTATTGTTCTTGCTAGGAATACCACAAAATAATTTAAGAATAAAACTCCACGCAACTAACAATACTTCAGTCTATCTGTCTAAATTTAATCAAAATAAGCACATGTCATTTAAACCCTTTAAAATTGATTCCAACACTTAAAATAATGGTAACATACCAGTTTGTATTGTTTCTGCATTATTTCTGGAAAGTGTGAGAATTGTCAATCACTATACAGTTCATAAGAGACCGAAAATGGCTTTATGGGTACCCCACTATTCACATTGGGTTGTTCCAGAAAAAATCCACACCCCCCCGACGGATGGGATTCTGGAAATTCTCGCGGGAGGGGGGGTCGAAGACTCCGGAAATCCAGGCGGGAGGGGGGGTTGACCTTAAAAAAGTCTTCTGCAGGGGTCATTTCGACCAATAGTTGATACAAATCAAACGTTTAGTTCGATGACACTTAAGCGCTTTCAGACCCTGAAAATAGTCAAAATGTTTTGTTCATATATTTCTCACCTGACATAAATGAGAATCTAAGTTGCTTTACAGGTCCTTTTATAGCAGAAAACGCGAACAAGATACTAAAGAACGGGCCTGAAGGAACTCGTCGCAACGTTGTTGTCACGAAGAGCGTCAAACGCCTGACACATTTCTACTCGTACCCAGAGCCCGCGCGCGAAGAGCGAAGAGTGATTTTTATAAGCTAAGAAATTATGTAAACACTCGTTCAGGTGTCGTTCGCATTTTTGTTCTTTGCTCCTTTCGTTTTTAGTTCCACGCGATAGAATTCTTAGTTTAATATAAGCTGAAGCTTTAGAAATTAAAACAAAAACATTTAGATGTGTTTGCGTGTATTTTCCATTAAAAATAAATTAAATTTAAGCGTTTTATTTTTTCCCGGAAATCCAGGCGGGAGGGGGGGGTCTTCCACCTTGGAAATCCAGTTGGGAGGGGGGGTCTTGTGCTTCAGGAAATCCAGGTGAGAGGGGGGGTTAAAAAAGGACCCCATCCGTTGGGGGGGTGTGGATTTTTTCTGGAATAACCCATTTCACATTTATCAATGGATGCCAAACTGCAATGTTGTAGCTGAGTAAGCTCCCATCAGCTGCAAATGATATGACCCATTCACCTCTAGTGGCTGCAGACGAGAACCATTCTTGTAAGTGATTAGCTTCAGTTATGGACACATTTCTCTCATCTCAAGGGTGCCACTCACATGAGCATCTATTCTAGTACATGTACGTAGCTCCAGTATCACATCAACTGGCTTGTGTATGGGTGTGATATGAGAACATTTCATCTGCCTTTAGCCTCCCAAGCAGACATTCTTATTGGTTTCTTTTTTTGTTGTTGTTTTAGTGATGAAAGTGTCAAGTTCTTTTGCTTTCAAGTATTAGAGCATCATATAAAAACAAGGTAAAATTAAACATTGATAATTTCTCATTATAATGATTAATAATAAATTTTACATAATTATTATAATGTGGCATCCATTTTAAAATTAATCTTCCTTCCATGGAAAAATCAAAAGGTTTTATTCTGTTGGTTGATCTGCCATTTTAAAGTTTTGTCTGCCAAATTATTCTGAATAACTCTTATTAAAAGATGTTATCTGAAAATTTAATTTTTAAATATTTACTCACTTGGCTCACTTGGTATGATATTATGTAGGCTATTATGATGAAAAACATTCAACTAGAGACAACTGGGTTTAATTGTTTTCTTACCAGGAATAACTTACAAACATTTGATCTTTAGCTGTATTCAGTGTAAACATGCTTCAGTCTCCTGTACTGTACAAGACATCTTGGATGATCTTGTCTAAGTGTGTGATCCTGCCCAAAAAATGGCTATTTTTTTTTATTTTTTATTTTGTGCACAGACATGTGTCATCAAATCTTGTAGATCAACAAGCACTCAGAGAGATTCTTTTGACCTGGCTACGAAATCAGGTACACTAGGCTAATTTACTCTACAGTAGAATCCCAAGGAACATTTTCTCTTTTTTTGCCCCTCACCCTAGATTGCAATGTCTGTCTTTAGGTGAAAAAGGATGTCTTGCTAATACCTTTGACATATTATTATGGGCTAGACTCTCTGTCTGTCTTTCATCAAAATTGAAACAACTTGTTTTATGTCAAAAGGTAGAGCAAAATTGTCAAACTTTGTTTTTTATAGTTGTGCAAAGATACCTAAAAGTGGACATAAGTGCATTGGTTTGCAAAGCCATGACAGTCTTACTAGCACCTTTGTTCTTTGAATTCTTATACCTACACTGTAGTGGTAATTGTAACATTTTCACTGTGATTTTTCATTGACCCTTGATGTAACTTTTCAGTGTTGTACCGAGTCAGATAACAAGAATTTCTTGAAGAACAAGGCAGCACAAGTCTTTAGCTTGATCTTTGTCTGTGATTATCCTGAGAAGGTTAGCTGATTTATTGTTATTTTAAGTGTAATGAGCGCGAATACTGATACCCGAAATTGTAACTTGCGCTCAGATTTCATTCAGTGTGAGAGAACTTCATTTAATTTCCTGCCTCTTTCACAAGCTCAGCCAGCAAGAAAAACATTTTTTTTGCATTTAAGGCTATTGATAATCAGGTAACAACTGCGACTCTTGATGAAAGTGGGTGTCCATGATGACCAGGGTCTTGCACTTTTGTCACAGTCAGCCCTTATACAGTGTTATGCCCTCATGGCTGGTAAACTCGCGCCTTCCAGCCATGAGCCCCTACACCAATGGAACCAGGCACCTGTGGGAAGGGTTGGGGGAAAGGCACAATCCAAAGGCTGAACAAAGCGAGTAATCACCTTGAAAGCATTGCACTAAGCACATGGAGCTGATGTTAGCAAAGGTGACTACGCTTGGGCCACCACACTGACTGCTGAGCAACAACACACAATGGCCCTCCTAGTTATTAACTGCGTTAAATGTTGTTTCACTTCATGTTACATTTCTCTTCTCCCTGTAGTGGCCGCTGTTTTTCTCAGACCTCCTCCAGTGCTTGCAATATGGAGCATTAGCAGTGGATATGTATCTTAGGATTTTGAAGGCAATTGATGAGGAAGTGGTTGATAGAGATGTGATAAGGAGTCAACAGGTTAATTTTGTGAATTGTTTTAAAAACTGTAATGCTACAATTTCCATTGGTGAAAATATATCTCCAACAGAGAGGGGTACAATCAAACAGAAATTGATAACCTATTCAATCTATATAATATTGTACTACCTGACATCTCATACAAGCAGCTTACAGCCACTGAAGCTGAACCCATTTTAGTGGGTGTCTGTAAAGCGCGTTTGGACTGTACCTAAAATTTTTATTTGCCTAATATAAAAGCTTGTTAAAGTTTGTCATTCAAGTTGTTTTTGTTGTGACAAAGTCCACCATGCCACCCACATGAAGTTGTCGGTGCTAATATGATTCGAAACATGCTGTGTAAAGGGCTACGCTGTAGATGTGTGAAATTGCTCCTTATGAAAATCAAAATCCTTTGGAGTTTAAACACTGCTTCTAGAATCTTGCTTGTCACGTCTTGAAACTTGTGTAAAGACTCAACGATTTGATTTAAGTCTGCCAACTTTTGTGGAGTTTCCGTTATTTGTACTTGTACAAGTATGTAAAACCATTTGCTGATCAATCAGTTTAGAAGCTGAATAAAATTTTTTCTCCATGAACAGGAAGCAGAGAGGAACACAAAAATTAAAGATCACATCAGGGATACGTGTGTCACAGAGCTCGTTGACTCTTGGTTTCAGATTCTGGTAGGTGGGAATCTTGTATTTTGGTACAACAATGAGGTTGAGGTTTCGCTGACTGTTTTTTTATTATGTTTTGTATGCAGAAAACATATGAAAATAGTGTGTCATCAATAACATGCCTTTGCCTGGACATTATTGGAGCATATATTGAATGGATTGATATTGGCCTGATTGCAAATGACAGGTTTATCAGGTAATGTTCATTGTAAAAGGGGCAGAGTAAAGTTAATGCCGACTGTGGACTGACTGTAGACTACGCAGAATAATATTTTTAGGGTTAGAAAACAATGGGACTTTTGGTGAAAGAATGAAAGATGGTAAAATTTGAATGTACACCCTGTGGTATAATTTATGGCCTCCCTCTCCATGAGTTCTGCGTAGGTCAAGTGGATAGAGCATCCTCCCGGTGTATCTAAGTAAGAGATTATTGATTTGCTAGCACAATTTCAAACTGTGTTCTTAAGCAAGACAATACTTCAGAGAGACTGAGAGTTGTATTGTCAGGAAACAGAAAATGTCAGATTCAAGTTTAGAATTTCTCAAAATTGAAAACGTGCAGCTAAAAACAAGACATAACTAATGTGAAGCCACTAAGTTTGTGGTAGAATTAGTAAACAGTAAATTGCGCAACAAAGTTAAGGGAAAACTTGGTCACATGGTATGAATTTCACGTTTGCTGTAAACATAACTCTAAATCTTTCTACAATCCTGGACAAATATGCTTGGGACAGTACTGCAATATTCATGTTTTTCTGTCATTTCTCGGTTCCCTCTTAAAACAGTGCCATCCTTTTCAAAATCTTCTTGCAGTTCTCCCCCCACCCCACCCTATACAAAGTAGAAAGTCGGTAAAAATTCAGGATAGTCGATACATACGTCCAACATGGGTGAGGGAGGGTTGGGCCTGTGTGAATTGGAAAACGTCCCTGAGAAATGCAGAAGTGTTCCAAGACTTTTGGTAGAATATCAGAAACTTTGCTCACCAATTATGGAAAGGTACTAAACTCTGTAATTTATCTACATTACATTTTTATTAAAACTATTTTTTTGGTATTAATGGCCTCGTTTAATAAAACACTTTAAAAAAGTCAAACTTCTGTAGAGCTGATACCCCCAACCGAAACAATCTAGAAAGAGCTCAAAAAGAGATGCAGTTTTTTTAGTTTGTTGTTATAATTCAGCACTGAATACGAGAAAGGTCGTAACAGGTTTTTTTCGTGTTCCAGTTACTCTTATAATTATGCCAAGCATGACCAATACTTGTTTAAGTGAAAGCGTAGGCTAGAAAGATTTTCCTGGTGATCGCTTTGCAAATGTGTAGCAAATTAGAATGCTGAGTTTACAGTAGTGCGAGGGCCGGCATAACTTATCTTAGAGAAGCCCCTAACATTCTTTTCTGTGGTGTTCCGCTTTTTAAGAGCATTATCGAGGAGCACCTTCTGTTGAATCGAGTGGCTGATGCCTGTATCAACTTGTTTGCTATGACGGCTTTGATTTCCAGAGCAGCGCGATCCATAAACCAAGTGCCAGCCATGAGGTGAGTGATAGGTAGCGTATTTAAATAAATGTAAGGAAGATCCTCGCATTTAAACTCGCCGCACTAGCCTGCGTAGCAGGTGTTCAAAAGGGAAGGGAAAGAGGATTTGGGGTTTCTGAGAAGTGGTTTCGAGCCCAAATTCTCTTTACCTTCCCTTTCGGATGCCAGCCACACAGGCTAAACTCGCTGACTTGTGCATTTGTGAAAAAATAAAAGCCTGAAAAAATTCAGATTCGAACCAGGATTCCGGATTCGGGATTCGGGAGCCGGGGCTCGAACCCTAACCTAGTGAGGCCTTTATTTAATGAGTATTGACACAGGCAATCGAGGAATATCACTGGAAATTAAGCTTAAAATGAGTGACAA